ATCAAACAGGTAGTTTTCAAAAACAATTCAAAAAAATTACGAGCGAACAATCACATTTATGTAATCTTTGGAAATTTTATAACAGCAATGACCTTCTTCGACACCCCCAGCATCTCATCACATTCATCCCTCTACTGTAACAGCTTATCATACCAGTAACAATTAGCGTACCCATATGGCTGTGATTCAACAATGCAACATCATGAATCATGTCTCTATCTTTAATGAATACTATTCCGCAAAGATTGATGGTTTTAATTTAATATACTATTTTTTTCATGATAGTATAGATCTGTATGACAGATGAATATCATGTTATCTCTTATTTTATACGACTTGATGTCTATACTGGTGATGGGTCACCATAGCAACTGCATCCAGATGGAAATAAGCACACACAATTAATTCACTGTTAACGCCTCCACTCACAATTCATGAAGTAAAGGTGTTCGATTTTTAATCAAAAATAAATTATGCTCTAGTTCAAGGTTAATGTCTGATCCATCCAATAAAATGAGGAAATATTAACAGTCTAGACAAATTATGAAAACATATTTACATCTTTAAAGATATAAACATAACAAACGCATGTAAATAAACATTTGTATAATTGTACTGAATTTAAAATTACTTATTTTGACAATAGACATGCTCATGTAATTTACATAATTGCACAAACTAATAGATCAAATATCTTATAATTTATTATTCAAATAAAGTAATGCTGGTAGTCAAGGAATATTTCACATGTTGCCACTTCAAGAATGTTTTTCAGTTGTTTTAATAACTCTAGTGTATATTACAAACTGTTTTGGTTTTTTGTCACTTTGTGAAAATCTAAACAGAACCAACTGTAAATAATGTGTTTACACTGTCATTACAAAGTTTAGTAAGCTTTTCTGCGCGATACACATGCCAGCAAATTGCGCGTTTTCAATCTTCCCACAAAATGCCATCTCACACGCATGGACTGACAAACATAGACATGTTAGCAACTTCAATGAAAAAGTAAATTAAAATCAGAACTTTTTGGTCCGAGTCATGAGAAATTTTTCCACTGTATGTGACTTTTATGGAGGGAACACAGAGAGTAGCTTGGAGCACTATACACGTTTGTCTTATTTCCAATTATTGGAATAATGCCGGTGAATACAGTGGTGCGAGCCTTTCAATTGAGTGGCCGCTCCCAATGTAACAGTATCAGTGTCAGTAAAATGGCATCATTGTCTCCGGCTGAAACAGCGTTTATCTACTTTGAAAGTGATCCGGTCCTGACTTTAATAAGATTCAATACGGCAAAGTAATTGAAGTAGAAGTAAACTGGCCCTGGAGTCAAACGAATCAGCCAACGCAATGCAGCAGACAATAGTGGTCATCTGTGGTCATGGCCTCACACAGCACGCTTACAACATCCCATAATATGCTGACAGTGCTTTCACATTTACCGTAATATTGTCACAACATGAAAACCAAACTGTATTTAGGAGATGTCAGAAACTTTTGAAATATTAAACATTTAAACTAAAGCTTTGATGGCTGGCACATTCAATTCTTGTAAATAGGGGTAGGGGGTTATGAAAAGTTCTTATACATTAAGGGGATATTTTATAATTGTGCTTTTCACTCAATACAGTGACTCGGATAATCATAGATCACATGGATGACTGATTAACGTAATCTTGTCGTTTAGGGAAAGCCGCCAAAGATAATTTAAATTACTGCGTTTTTAAATCACACTGTGTTGTTTACATAGTTTGTTGCATTTATTTTACATTTAGAAATTTCCTTGGGGGATGATTTGTTCTCTTTGCTATTTGCAATGTTACTCGCACTTTAGGCTTGTGAATGTGATACTTTTCAGTGAATAATTTCCAGCAACGAAGTGATAAATCATACCTTAAGAATTCAATATTATAAATTATCTACATTTTATCTATAAGTGTAATCTGTTACTTGTTGTCTGTCCATATACAGTCTTAGGAAAAATACAAGTCATTCATAACTGATGGTGACTCCCCAACCCCACCAAAAGAAAGAATATTTCTCAAAATTAAAACCCCCTAGTTAAGTTTGTAGTCTTACATACATGTCTACTTAATAGGTTGCCTGTTTTTTGTATCACGTGTAACAATGTTGACTCATGTTTGTGTTTTGCAGGTTTTCATATTAAGATTTTCATGCATGGAAAACAAAAATAAATTTTTACTCCTCCCCCAAATCGAATTACTCACGTTTCTCTATACGTTCAATTATTATGGTCCCTTAGTCACACTGATAATCAAAATATACTAATTTTTACAATAGAGTTTATTATTTTACAACTAGAGTTATTAATTATAATGCACAATAATTACAATAACTTTCATGAAGGCATAATGAAAATTATTAAATAGTTGACATTTATCCCAGGAGTCCTTTACGCTTAATTCAAATCCAAAGAAGTACATTGGTTATGTAAGATGTTTAATAATGTTCATTACCCATGAGTCTGTGCAAGATTCTATCAATTTACCCATGAGTCTGTGCAAGTTTCTTTCAATTACCCATGAATCTGTGCAAGTTTCTTTCAATTACCCATAAGTCTGTGCAAGTTTCTTTCAATTGCCCATGAGTCTGTGCAGGGTATTTTCAATCATTGGCAGACTTATAGCCAAGAACGCAAAAAATAGATTCCAATTCCATCAAATTTTTTTAAAAACTTGAAATTACAATGATTCTTTTGTTGAAATAAATTTAAAATACAGGTATTGTCATTATTGTTTGGCACAGAAAGATGAAAGTGAGTCAATGTCGAAGGAGAGGTGAAACTTGACTGACCACAGTGAAGTTTTATTACATGTCGTAATCATCTGCTACAGCTAGTGATTGGTCAAGTTGTTTTCAATTGCCATTTGATATTTATAAATATTCTATACAGCACTAACCAACCAATCCATTGGATTAAATTTTATAAATATTTATAAAAAATCTAATGCATAATGACGTCATTTGAAAATGTTACAATGTTATTTCATTATCCAATAGAAATCTCTCATTTCAAATTAAATTGTGAAATTTATGAATATTTATATAAATAAAGTGAAAGTTTGTTATGTCCATAGGAAAAAAAAACATTCATTTACGCCTTCATCAAATTCACTGTATCAATGAAATTACTAAAGTAGTAATTATTGTTAATTGGTTTATTATTATAATTTGGGGAATTGTTCAGTTGTCACAATACAGACATTATTAATTCCAATCCACGTCAATTTGTAGTCTGCAACCTCAGATGCGTTAGGAAACTCTGAGTTGGATTGAAGATAGAAACAAGGCGATAACACTAATGAAAACACAAAAAGTCACAAAAAACGAATGGCTGATTTTAATGTCCCCCCTCGCCTCGGGACTGAAAACAAACGTATCGAATCCATGTGATGACGGCGATAGTACTCGTAAGATAACGAAAAAAATAAGCTTTCGGCAAAATATTTCGATATACACAAAAGCACTCTACTGGCGATGGCTTCCTGCGTCTAGTGAACGTGGAAACCTGCCTGGGCTTGGAACGAGAGGGTCGATGTGATCAATCATTGCGTTATGATGACACTCTGACGAGCTGCATAATGCACGGGCGTTTGGAGGCCCAGAGGTCGCTTTGTGAGAACTCGGAACTCCAAGTGACTCACCATTACAATCTCTGTACTACAGATTTTCGTGTTTTATTTCGAGTTATATTTTAAACGATCGTTTTGTTTCCTGTGCAGTAGTGACTAAGTGAGATACTGTCCTTGGCGAGCCCACACCACAGAATATGCTTCCTTCCGAGTCGGGTTCCTTTGTATAAACATAATTGCCCGCTTGCTAGTGTGTAAGAGCGGCAACGGTCCATTCTTGTGGAAATGGCAGCGTTCAGGGACAAAGCCATGTGAGCCAGTAAAAATACCGATACTGGCTAGTATACTTTTAACAGGGCTCGTTAAAAAGAGTCGATATACAAAACAAGGGAACACTCATAACGCCCCAGCAACAGAACGTTTGAAACCGTAACCCCGCTTCGATTCCTGCTCCGAAATATAAATGACTTAGCCTGGAGATAATTGCAGAGTTTAATATGTGGGGTAACTGATACGGGGTAGCTAGTTTGCACGACCTGGACGCACGCAATTTTAACACTGATAGTCACTTTGGAATTTAGAAGAAAATTAGAGTCAACGGAAAGGAGCAGAGGGCATGGAAACAAATAAAAGAAAAAAAATCGGTTGTAAAAGCGTTACGTTGACAGTTAAAAAATGTCCTTATTGATATGGGTTAACCGATAAAAAGTTAGCAAGCACGTCCAAGACATTACATGGACAGTCTTGCTTCAGCGATGCAGACTTGTAAACTGTCGACACCAAACACACTCAAGTGTCGATCTCACACTTAATGCACCCTTCAAAGTTTCTGCTCAAATGAATCCGATAAACAACAAGCCCGACCCTTGCTGACAGCGCTTCTGATTCCAGCGTGCCACAGTGCAGATACGTTTACAAAAATAAATATATCGCTTTCACGCTTTAGACCGATCATCCCTGTTAACGCTCGCCGGTCACAACATCGAGGCCGACGAACAACAACGTTGACATTGAATCGAGGAGAATATAAAAGGTATAAACAAATAAATGTGTTGCCTTTTTTTCAATGACCTGTGTGTATTTTCGACGTTTACTTAGGGATCTGATCTCGCTACATTTTGAGCGATTACGCTCTTTGATTCGGCGTGGCCCACGCTCTACAAGCCAGCTGTGCCATAATTCAACCGAATGTCGATGATACACCGAACACCGTATTACGGCGGTGTTTCCCGGCGATCGAAACTAGTCTCAATATTCGACCGTCCACAGCGCGAACGGAATACGGTATCAAAACATTATGTCAAAATACACCGTATCAATAGACTATGTAAGTCGTACATAATAGAAATGTTACTCACCGTGTACAAACACAACACTAGTGCTAGGACGTGCAGCGTTGCCATTTTCAACAGTTCACCAGCGAGTTACTAACGCGTTGTATTCTGCTGAGATCGGGAGGCCGTTTCTTCCGCTTGCTACTTGGCAATAACATTTACGACTACCAGTGCCTACAGATGGCTAAAAAACTAATAAAAACTTGTAAAAGGTGTTACAAGCGCACAGATCAGACGGGCCGATTACAGTATCAAGAACGGCAATGATTGGTCTGTTGTATACTAATTAAATGGAGCCGGCATGATTATTCCTTATAAGGAAAGTACTTAATTAGAACTCTTGTGTGTGGCAAGTATATTAGCTGTTCAATCCAAGGCTGCTCCTCCCACTGAACGTACATCTGACACCTTGCCGAGAAGACAGCGGATCTGCTTGTTTTTATGCGAGACCACGGTGGATCGATCCCGTTTATTGGACCTCGCATAAGGACGTGTTTTATGCTTGAGTGCACGTGACACGAGTTGTCGGTCAGGGTGGCGCGTTACTGAAGGGTTGGTGGATAGCCAGTGTGGGCGTTCTTCTCAGCTCCAACATATATCGTACAAGTCACAACTTTAAGTTTTATCATACCAGACATTTTTACTAATTTCAGTTTCCAAAACATATTTTTACGGATTTTCGGCCCCTTTGATGCATGGAATTGCGATTTTCGGGAGTGTGTGGAATCTCTCACTTACAAGTTAAATCCAAAGTCACACGTATTTGTGAAAAGTCGGAGCTGTTTGTTCCACCATATATACCAGACACGGAACACACACACTAAAACCCGGATTTACTACTCGTAACAAATGCATGTTTTGCGTCACTCCGACGAAACAAATTGTTACTGGTTCGTGATCAGTTACGCCGACCATCCAACGATTTGTGATCGCCAACTGTACATGTGTTTAATTCATGTCTCCAACAATAAAACATATTGGATCGATTTTTAAATCGTAGCCTTAGTGTCGTGACACATATTGTTAAATGAAATTGCTTTATCCTTAGATTTAAAAAAAAATAGAACGGAAATTGTGTTTTCCCCCCTTTCACCCTTCATCATTACAATATGGGGGAAAGGATGAAATGAAATGGCACGTACGTAAAGGCATACCGCCAATTCGTGATGGATGGCGAGCGAACGTTGCTGCGCCCACAGGGCTTTATTACTGCAATGGACCCGTACCTTCGCCGCATGGTG